TATGGTTGGCTTAAGAATTAGCAACACGCGCGCGCAACCCTTTCTGGGGAAATCCGCGCTGCGAAACCATATGTTGTTGCATGTGTTCTGACGCTCAATTTCGAAAATCCGTCTGACACCGAACGTTGTTGAAGGGTTTTGGTCAGCGCGCGACGACGCGCGCGTGCCCTTCGTTTGATCTGTCGCAATGGATCCTTGACAACTGATGATTGTTGTTCAACGAGAGCGCGCGCATAATACTTGTTGCAATGGATGGCGGGCGGGGCGATACCGGCTAGGCTGGGATGGTACGAGTTCACATTCAGGATGGACGATGGGGCACGATGGACGATTCAGGATGGACAATGCGAAGTGGGGGGTCGATAATTCTGGGGGGGGTGGGGGGGGGCCTGATATCTTTTTGGCAACCCTGCGCCGCGCTTAGCCACCTCCACTGCTCGCGCAATCGCCCCACCCAACAACCCGCAACTTGGTTCGCAAAACCCACGCGGCGGGGATTGCAACGAGTGCTCGGCGTTGGCCGGCGCATGCCCGCGGCCGCGCCAGCCGGCGCATGCGCGCGCGCAGCAGCCAGCTAGCTCGGCGCGACCGACGCGGCCGCGTCGGCGCTGACCGCTGCGCACATTCCAGCGGGAACTTCACTGCGAGTGGGCGACGTGGGCGGGCGCGATATCATGGCAACGTCGACAACGGTAGACTCGATGATGATAGCAGCGATGCCGGCGGCGATGCTGACCGCGCCAACTCAAGCGCGCGCGCAGCGGAGAGCTAGTCTGACGCGACCGACGCGGCCGCGGCGGCGCTGACAGCTGAGCACATCCCAGCGGGCACTTCACTGCAGGTCGGCGAGTTGGGCGGGCGCGGTATCATGGCAACGTCGACAGCGGTAAAAAAAAACGACGATGATACTTGCGATGCTGGTGACGACGTTGACAACGACAACGGCGCGGCCAGCGCGGGCGCCGATGCTGATCACGCCGATGACGATGACGGCGCCCTCGCGTCGGCAATGGAGGTTGGAAATAATTCGACACGCGCGCGCGGCCGACGCGCGAATTGGCCCGCATGGTCTTATTTGACACGGATCGCGCCACCGCCTGCACGCGCGCGCGCCGTCGCGCGAGCACGCCGAAAACCGTCAGAGAAAAATTGCGCAACGAATGCAAAAAGGAACGCCCAGAAAACATGCAAAAAAAAACACATGACTTCGCAAAATCCGTTTTGTTCCGAACAGCGCGCGATCGCGCTCTTGCGAATTCTCTAGAAAACAATGCATTCTTCTACCACGTTCATGGATTTCAGCCAAAGGGGCCTCTCGCGCCGCACGCCGACATCATTCGCGCGCATTCGCGAGCGCGCTGGGGAGGCACGATCCGCGTCAAACAATACCACGCAGCCCACTCTCACGCGTCGGCCGCGCGCGCGTGTCGAGCTCGTTCCCAAACCTTCATCACCGACGCGAGCACGCCGTCATCGTCGTCGGCGCGATCAGCATCGGCGCCCGCACTGGCCGCACCTTCGTCGGCGCGAACATCGCCACCAGCATCCTTACTATCATCATGTCTATCGTTGTCGACGTTGCCGCGATACCACGCCGGCCCAAGTCGTCGACTCGCAGGAGAATGCCCGCCGGGGCGCGCCAAGCGATCAGCGCCGGTCGCGCCGGACTAGCTGGCAGCTGCGCGCGCGCGGGCTGTCGCGGCCGCAGTAATGCACCAGCCCGCGCCAGGCATGCATCGCAATCGCCGCCGCACGGGGTTTGCATAACAAGTTGCGGGCGGGCGGGCGGGACGTTTGCGCGAGCCGCGGAGCGGGCGACTTCAAGATGAGCGTCGGCGGATTCTCTTCTGTTTCCAAAAAACTCATTCTACCCCCACCACCACCCCCAGGATTACCACTCCCCCCCTGGGTAGTGCAATGTACATGTGATTTCGCCGGCTTGCTCATTTTCCACATGACATATGAGTTCATGCCATCCCAGCCAGCGCAGGCATTGGAGCCCCCCTCATCTGTCAAATAATACCACGCAGCGCACCAAGCTGAGCTAAACGCACGACTCCTAAGAAAAAATACCACGCGGGCCACATGCGCGAGCGCAAGACCAAAACCTTCCAAAACCTTTGTTGCCGCTGCGATTTCAGCGTAAAAACATATTAAACCCCAGCGGGCTTCCAACAAAAAGTTGCAACATTTCATCCCTCGCGCTCTCGCCGTCGCCCGCGGTCTCCCGCAAGATGGACTTTGCCCGCGAGACGAGCATCCGTGCGCCAATGAACACGATGAAAATATTGGAGGAGCTCCACGCTGCAACTGCACTCGCGATCTTATGAGTTCTGCCAATCACCTCACCATTGTTGATCGACGCTGTCGCCCGCGCTGTCTCCCGCAAGATGGATTTTGCCCGCGCCGCGAGGGTCCGCGCGCCAGTGAGTTCGATGAGATTTGCGGACGAGCTCCACGCGGCAACTGCAGTCGCGACCTCACGCGGTTTGCCGACCAAGATGCGCGTGGGACGGCGGGATGTTTACGCGAGCATGGGAGGTGGTCACGCGCGGCGCAGCTTGGTCAGGTGCATCACGTTGGCTGTACCACAAAGATTGCTGAACACAGATTGCACAGCATAGATTGCACAACACCTATTTCAAAAAATAGGTTGCAGAACACATCATTTCACCACGTAGACTTGACCGCCTACATGGTTCCAAATAGATTGCACAACAGATTATGCTAAAAATACACTCTTTGGGGTCCACGTTGGCTAGCACGTCTGTATGCATATATACTATTATATATAGACGAGAGAGAACACACAAAAAAACATATAAACACATGTGTATATATATATATATACATACACTTTAAAAAAGAGAAAGACATCAACAGACTCCACCGTGCCTCGGGTGCACCTATTGGCGTACCCTCAGGTCCCTAAAAGCTCTCCAGTCCTCACTCCTGAAAGATTTGTTTACTGTTGAGGGGCCAGACCCCACATTCCCTGACTTCCTGGGGCGTGCCATGTGACTCCTGGGGTTCGGCGCGTGGTCTCCCGTGACTTCTTTGGGGTCGAGGGGGCCCCCAGGCTAAACAATGGGGCACGAAGAGGCCCCGAAGACGGCCGAAGAGGGCCCCGAGCCGCCAAATGACCCCTCCGAGACGCCGAAGATGGCCTCCAGACAGCCGAGGAGGCTCCCAAAACGATCAACGAAGGCTCCAAGAGCCTTCCCAAAAGGCCCCGAGAAGCCAAAATCCGATAATTCCACTTAAGCATTCTCGCTTTTTCAGACTGCCGACAATTCAAGACGGCCCAAGGCCCTCAGGATCGCCCAAAGAAGGAGGCCCCCTAGAGGGCCGTGGTGCCCTAGGGGCAAGATCGCCCCAGAAACCGTCATGAAGCCAAAAAAACGCCCAGAGGACCCACCATGAGGTCCCAAAGAAGCTCCCAAGAAGCCCCCAAGAAAACCAGAGAGACCCAAAAGCGCCCCTTATTGGCCTCCAAAAGCTCCCGAGGTCCCGAAGAGTCCCCAAGAGGCTACTAAGAGTCATCCAAGGAGGAGACCCCAGGAGGTCCCAGAGAAGCCTCTGACCACAACCTAGGCACGAAGGATCGACGCCCGATGGAACCAATATGACCCAAGTGGAACCACTTGGGTGCCACTTGAGTCAAATAGCTTGCATTCACGAAGGAAGCATCCGAAGAAGTTTCCGAGGGGATCCCAGGAAACCCCGACAAGCATCCAAGACACCTCTGTCCCGCAAGCCTGGCACGGTGGCGGGATCGGCCAAAAGCCACTCTGTGTACAAATGCAGTTGCAGCTAACCAGACATAGAGATTCCCCGAAGAGCCGTTGAATTCAGGGGAGCTGACTCGCATCACTGGAAGCTCGGATTTGTGCGTCGAGAATTTGCAACGTTCCCGCGCCCGTTGCCGCCCGCTGCCGCCGGCGTGGGTGCGCAGAGGGTGCGCCGCGTTCCCGTCCGTCGCTGGCCGTGGCCGCTCCTATGGGCGAGCGTCGAGGACGCGCAACGCTGCCGCCCGCTGCCGCTCGGGTTGGCGCGTCGAGGACTCGGCCCGTGGTGGCCCCGTTGCCGCCCGGTGGCGCTCCCGCATCCAGCGGGGAGCCGCGAGGCGTCAGAAGCGGATCGCATGTGAGCGTTTTTTTTTTTATTCGGCGTTTCGGCATCGGGAAGAAGGGGGGGAGGGGGGGGAGGGCTCTGCACCTCTGCCTAGTGCGACGGTTTGCAGAGGTGCTTCCTTTTGGGGGAGGCTCCACCTGCTCGAAACAGGCGCCAAAAACAGCCAAGATCTACTCCAGGGAGGGGGGAAGGGGGGGTTGGGGCCCCGCGCCGATCGGCAAAACAATTGATAAGAAACGAACACCATTTCGTGGGACACAGCTTTCTGTCAGCAGTTCCATCGAACTCTGAACCGTTGCCGCACAGCTTCCACCACATAGCTTCCGGGAATGATCTTCCACCACATAACTCCCACCACGCAGCTTCCACCACACAGCTTCCATCACATCGCCTCCGCCACATGGCTTCCACCACATAACCTCCACAACCAGAGTGCGACAACTCAATGCTTGGAGTCCGCGTTGGCAACCTCTGTACTCATAATCATGAAATTCGAAACCTATACACACATATGATACACCTTGTACACATACTTATAAATATCTAGCTACATTGAGGTGTTCGTGTATATATGTACAACTTACACTGCGGATCGGTCCTTCCACCCTGAAGGAGGAGAATGGTGCAACCACCAAACCCGATGCAGCCTAGAGATTCGGCGGCGAGAACTCTTCGAAACATCCGCCCCTGGACATCCGTCCCCTCCCTCGGGCCAGCTTTCATCTTCAGTCAACGTTTGACGGTCCTGGGGCCCGGAACAGCCTCCAGAAAGCCCAAAAAATCTGAAAAACGGAACGTCCCTATTTTTGACGAGCCGCCAGATCTCCGGGAGCGCCGCTGCAACGACAGTGAGAAGCCCGCCCCTCCGAGAGTGCCGTCGAGGGCGCCGTCGACCTCGGACATCGCGCCCCTCTCATGGGCCCAGCGACATCCGGCTGGGCCGGTCGAGGGGGCTGCCGGCTGCCCGGACTTTGAACTGAACTGCGGCCCGAGGAAGCGAGGCCCAGCAGGATACAATTTCAGACATGCTCGGGCCGCACACAGACATGTACTAGTACTATGCGTCCTCCTCGGAAGCGCGCACCCAACCCGAACCTCTGGTATGCAAATATTGTAGTAGACGTTTCCCGAGCGGTGTGGCCAGGAAGCACCCGCCACGACGCATAGATTATCAGATTTCTCGGTGCGCGCGTCGCCCCTGGGGGAAGACGCACACCTAGCATTAGCGTGTTGGGGTGACGCCGAATCTTGTATCCTCGACACCAGTCTGAAATCACACAGCTTGTGGGTCCTCGTCGCTGTTGGATGGTGTTCGAAAGTGGCTCAGCTAAAGCGGGAAGTCGTGTCCTGGCGCTTGTTTCGGAACTGTTGCTGCAGCTGTTTCTCTGGTTCATGCTCACTAGCTATATTGTTCCTTGTGGGCCACAATGGGGTTACAGTCGGCCCGTACAATAAGGATGCGAGGTAACCATACAAGGGCCTTCGAAGCCCAAGTTGACGCTTTTTGAACGAGGCTTGCAGGCGAAAGTCGCTAAGAATGGGCAACTCTTCAACGGAGGAAGGGAGGAGGCAGGAGGACCCAGAGGAGACCCAGAGGAGGAGAAGGAGGAGGGAGGACCCAGAGGAGGAGGGAGGACCCAGAGGAGGACTCCAGGAAGGAGGGAGACGGAGGAGGCGATCCATCTCTTGGCAACATCCCCTGGCCCCTGGGGCAGGCGTCGGCAAGACGCCAATGCTGAGGGTGCCAGCGGGCTCTGAACACCACTGTAGCCTGCGAGCGCCACAGGACGTCCGCGGTCGCCACCAGACGATCGCCGTGCCGTGACTACACGGGGGGGGGGGGGGGCGATCGCGCGCCTGATCGCCGGGGGTTTTTCCGCACGGGTTCTAACTTCTGCAGCATTGGTAAAACGAGACTGCCCACAAAAGTTGTGGCGCTTTCACAAACTATGTGCGCCCCCCCTCCCCCACCAGAAACCTCCGCCATTCCGCCGCACGGCTGCGCCAATGTTTTTTTCGGTCCCCAAGAGCGCTCCAAGACGGCTTCCAAGACGAGGTCGATTCCCACATCGTTCTGGAGACGCTCGCGGGACGCACTTTGGCTGCATTTGGGGCCCTTCGGGGCCCTCTTTGGCCTCCCAAATCCGCTGCCGGAGCCCTCAAGAGCGCCTCTTGGACCTCACTTCGACTACAAACTAGATATTTCAAATATAGCAAAACTCATACTGTTTGATGATTTTCGCCCCGCCGGGTCCCCTGGACGCCTCTTGTAGCTCACTTTCGGGCTCGCCCGGGGTATTTTTCGACACGCAATTGTCGACGTCGTTTTTGGACGCGCTCCGGATCGATTCTGGGCGATTCTGAGCCCAACTTGAGCCCCAAAACGAAACCCAAACCGGCCCCGAGCCAGCCCGGTTTTCCATGGCATTCGGACTGGTTTCCGGCCCAACACGGACGCGCTGTCGCTTGGGCCGTCCAGAAGCCTGGCCTGGCCGCCCCGGGCCCTGCTGGGCCCCCTTTCGGGCCCGGGCCCTGGGACACACAAATCCGCCGACCCCGGAGGCGTGCGGGAACAACCCTTGTCATGAGCATAAGGCCCAGGGCCCACCCTGACCCCCAACCTGGCCCCGCCACCACGCCTCCACCTCGTCCGACACCCTACCCACTCCGGCTTCTAGTTTTACAGACCTCCACTCGTCCATTTTCGGCTCGGCGCCCACCCTGACCCCCCCCCTGGCCCCACCACCACGCCTCGTCCGACCTACTATCCACTCTGGCTTCTAGTTTTAGAGACCTCCACTCGACATGTTTTCGCCCTGGGACCCACCCTGACCATCCACCTGGCCCCACCACCACGCCTTCACCTCGTCCGACACCCTACCCACGCCGGCTTCTAGTTTGACAGACCTCCACTCGACAATTTTCCACCCGGGACCCACCCTGACCCCCTACCTGGCCCCACCACCACACCTCCACCTCGTCCGACACCCTACCCACGCTGGCTTCTAGTTTTCAGACCTCCACTCGGCAGTTTTCGACCCGGGACCCACCCTGACCCCCTACCTGACCCCACCACCACGCCTCCACCTCGTCCGACACCCTACCCACGCTGGCTTCTAGTTTCAGAGACCTCCACTCGATAATTTTCGACCCGGGACCCACCTTGACCCCCTACCTGGCCCCACCACCACGCCTCCACCTCGTCCGACACCCTACCCACGCTGGCTTCGCTGAGCTTCAATTTTAGACCATCAGCACTTCCACCTCTTGACGTCCGGGACCCACCACCTACACCACGCCTCCACCTCGTCCGACACTACCCACGCTGGCTTCTAGTTTAGAGACCTCCACTCGACAATTGTCGAACCCGGGACCCACCCTGACCCCTACCTGGCCCCACCACCACGCCTCCACCTCGTCCGACACCCTACCCACGCTGGCTTCTAGTTTCAGAGACCTCCACTCGACAATTTTCCACCCGGGACCCACCCTGACCCCCTACCTGGCCCCACCACCACGCCTCCACCTCATCCAACACCCTACCCGCGCTGGCTTCTAGTTTTAGAGACCTCCACTCGACAATTTTCGACCTGGGACCCACCTTGACCCCCTACCTGGCCCCACCACCACGCCTCCACCTCGTCCGACACCCTACCCACGCTGGCTTCTAGTTTTAAGAGACCTCCACTCGACAATTTTCACACCGGGACCCACCCTGACCCCCTACCTGGCCCCACCACCAACGCCTCCACCTCGTCCGACACCCTACCCACGCTGGCTTCTAGTTTTAGAGACCTCCACTCGACAATTTTCGACCCGGGACCCACCTTGACCCCCTACCTGGCCCCACCACCACGCCTCCACGTCGTCCGACACCGTACCCCCGCTGGCTTCTAGTTTTAGAGACCTCCACTCGACAATTTTCGACCCGGGACCCACCCTGACCCCCTACCTGGCCCCACCACCACGCCTCCACCTCGTCCGACACCCTACCCACGCTGGCTTCTAGTTTTAAGACCTCCACTCGACAATTTTCGACCCAGGACCCACCCTGACCCCCTGCCTGGCCCCAGCACCACGCCTCCACCTCGTCCGACACCCTACCCACGCTGGCTTCTATTTGACCAGCATTCACTTCGCAATTTTTCGAACCGGGACCGCACCTGACCCCTACCTGGCCCCACCACCACGCCTCCACCTCTCCGACACCCTACCCACGCTGGCTTCTAGTTTTAAAAACCTCCACTCGACAATTTTCGACCCAGGACTCACCCTGACCCCTTGCCTGGCCCCACCACCACGCCTCCACCTCGTCCGACAGCCTACCCACGCTGTCTTGTAGTTCTAGCGACCTCCACTCGGCAATTTTCGACCCGGGGACCCACCCTGACCCCCTACCTGGCCCCACCACCACGCCTCCACCTCGTCCGACACCCTACCCACGCTGGCTTCTAGTTTAACCGACCTCCACTCGCCAATTTTCGACCCGGGACCACCCTGACCCCCTACCTGGCCCCACCACCACGCCTCCACCTCGTCCGACACCCTACCCGCGCTGGCGTCTAGTTTTCGAGACCTCCACTCGACAATTTTCGACCCAGGACCCACCCTGCCCTTCTACCTGGCCCCGCCGCCACGCCTCCACCTCATCCGACACCCTACCCACGCTGGCTTCTTAGTTCTAGACCCCCACTCGACAATTTCCCCCCGGGACCCACCCTGACCCCCTACCTGGCCCCACCACCAAGCCTCCACCTCGTCCGACACCCTACCCACGCTGGCTTCTAGTTCTACCAGCATTCACTCGACAATTTTCGACCCGGGACCCACCCTGGCCCCCGACCTGGCCCCACCACCACGCTCCACCTCGTCCGACACCCTACCCACGCTGGCTTCTAGTTTTAGAGACCTCCACTAAACAATTTTCGACCCGGGACCCACCTTGACCCCCTACCTGGCCCCACCACCACGCCTCCACCTCGTCCGACCCGTACCCACGCTGGCTTCTAGTTTTAGAACCTCCATTCGACAATTTTCGAACCCGGGACCGCCCTGACCCCCTACCTGGCCCCGCCACCACGCCTCCACCTCGTCCGACACCCTACCCACGCTGGCTTCTAGTTTAAAACACCACCACTCGACAATTTTCGACCCGGGACCCACCCTGGCCCCCGACCTGGCCCCACCAACCCTACCCACGCTGGCTTCTAGTTTTAGAGACCTCCACTCGACAATTGTCGAACCGGGACCCACCCTGACCCTCAACCTGGCCCCGCCACCACGCCTCCACCTCGTCAGACACCCTACCCACGCTAGACATCCACTCGGCAGTTTTCGACCCGGGACCCACCCTGATCCCCTACCTGGCCCCGCCACCACGCCTCCACCTCGTCCCGACACCCTACCCACGCTGGCTTCTAGTTTTAGAGACCTCCACTCGACAATTTTCGACCCGGGACCCACCCTGACCCCCTACCTGGCCCCACCACCACGCCTCCACCTCGTCCGACACCCTACCCACGCTGGCTTCTAGTTTACAAACCTCCACTCGACAATTTTCGACCCGGGACCCACCCTGACCCCCTACCTGGCCCCACCACCACGCCTCCACCTCGTCCGACACCCTACCCACGCTGGCTTCTGGCTTCCATTTTTAAAAACCTCCACTCGACAATTTTCGACCCGGGACCCACCCTGACCCCCTACCTGGCCCCACCACCACGCCTCCACCTCGCGCGACACCCTACCAACGCTGGCTTCTAATTTCACAAACCTCCACTGGACAATTTTCGAACCGGGACCCACCCTGACCCCCTACCTGGCCCCGCCACCACGCCTCCACCTCGTCCGACACCCCTACCCACGCTGGCTTCTAGTTTTAAACACCTCCACTCGACAATTTTCCACCCGGGACCCACCCTGACCCCCTACCTGGCCCCACCACCACGCCTCCACCTCGTCCGACACCCTACCCACGCTGGCT